CCTTGTCCTAAGGTGACATTATGGTGCTTCTATCCCCAATCGCGTGTTCTGTTTATGTTTGATATTATGTTCTGTGCTTTCAGTACTGACTCTGAAAGTGAAGGTTTGTTTTGTCTTGTTATCAGCCGGCTCACCACCCCCTATGGTCTGTTGTCTAGAAGAGGCTAGTGCTGGCTGGCTTGCTTGGCTTTGCTTGCTTGCTTTTGCTGGCTTGCTTTGCTTGCTTGCTCTTGCTCCTGCTTCTGCTTCTGCTTTTGCCTTTGCTTTTGCTTGTTAGTTAGTTTAGCTAAGCAGTCAAATTTTTTCCCTGGATTGGTTTTTTTTTTTTTTCCTTTCCCTTTCCTGAATATCATCCCAACCTGCTCTGGACTGGGACCTGGAAAACACCGAGGAACACTGCAGCAGCCATCCCCAGTGCCGGAGACCAATCCCCAGTGCCCAGACCCGGGCAAGCATTCCCAAGAGAGACTCTCTGGATTTGTCATCTCTTCAGAGTGGTGAAAGAGTTTTTTTGTCATCTGGTGTTGTTCATTTTTTGGTGCTGGGGAGTGTTTTGTTTGTTAAATAAACAGGTTATTTTCCACTCCTCTCCGAGAAAATTCTTCCCGAACCAGGTGGGGGGGAGGGGCCGTGGGGGTTTGTTTTCTGGGGGCTCCTTCCAGAGGTTTTCTCCCAAATTTGCCCTAAACTAGGACAAGCCTAGAGTGGTACCAGTACGGCAAAAGCAATACACTTTGAAAATACAGTCGTATGGGGTTGTAGTGGTTTTGGTTTGCTAATAATAGATTTCCTGGATAATGTACCAATTAATGTCATGGGTTTCAGTGCTGGCCGAATGCCAGTGCACTCACTAGAATATACTTACTAATTTCTTGCTGTGAGATAGGATTAGGAGAAAGGCAAAGTAGGCTCAAAACTTTAAAAGGGTATAAAGAAAAGTTTATTAATAGTAACAAAAAAAAATAATGTAATAATCACTCTGTATTGACTGTTCAGTAACCTTACCGGGTACTGAGGACAGGCTGACTGGTCTATAATTACCAGGATTCTCCTTTTACCCTTTTTTTGAATGGGTGTCACATTGGCCAGCTTCCAGTTATCTGGAACCTCACCAGTGAGCCAGGACTGTTGGTAAATGATGGAGAGCAGTTTAGCAAGCTCATCTGCCAGCTCCCTCATCACCCTAGGATTGATCCCATCTGGTCCCATAGATTTATGAATATCCAAACATCTCAGCAGTTCTCTGACTGCCTCCTCTTGGATAATGGGGGGACCATTTTGCCCCCTGATACCATCAATCAACCCAAGAGGACAGTTGTCCTGAAGGTAACTCATCTTCCAACTAAAAGTTGAGGCAAAAAAGGCATTAAGCACCTCTGCCTTCTCTTCATCTGCAGTTGCTAAGTTCCCTCCTGCATCTAATAAAGAACAAAGGTTGGTCTTACCCTTCTGTTTATCATTAATATATTTGTAAAAACTTTTTTTATAATCCTTCACAAAAGTTACCAAATTAAGTTCAACCTGAGCTTTGGCTTCCCTAATTTTTTTCCTACATGCTCTAGCAGCCCTGTTAAATACTTCCTGAGAGACCTGACCCTCCTTCCAAATATGATACATCCTCTTTTTATTCCTAAGTTTCTCCAAGGCTGGATGTTTGCCTTGTCAACTTGTCCTTTGGCACACAGGGACAGTCTGTTCCTGTGCCCGCAAGATCTCTGCTTTGAAGCACACCCACCTTTCCTGAACTCCTTTGTTTTTAAGGGCTGCTTCCCAAGGAACTCTGAATAAGTCTCCTAAATAGGCCAAAGTCTGCCCTCTGGAAGTCCACTGTAAAATTCTTATTGATGTTCCTCCTGATTTTACCAAATATCAAGAACTCTATAATTTCATGATCACTGTGCCCCAAGTGGCCTCCAACCACTACATCTCCCACCAGCCCATCTCTATTTACAAACAACAGATCTAATATAGTCCTTCCCCTGGTGTTAGCGTTCAGGAACACACATAACCATGGGATATGATTATATGCAGGTGCTTTTATTGAGAGCTCTGGGAATCAGGGGTACAGACGCAAATCTGACTCCGACATGGCTTTCGAGCTGAACATACTTTATATTCTATCGTTATATCATTTACATATTAATTATTAAACTTATATTGTTCAATTGTATACAGTGACTTTATTCAAGCATGAGTTTCTCGTGATCTTTCTCAAGCCTCTGATGACAGTTTCTCATGGCTATTCTTACGATTAAATGGTAATTATATTTAATTACTAAACAATCATCACATCTAACAATTATATCATTTATCATGTACTAGCTACACAGGTGCAGTTCTAGCAAGGTACAAGGCCTACACTTTCCCAGGCTATTTTCTCAGGGCCTACTAAGCTTAATTTTCCCTCCAGCCCCCAAATCCCCATGATTTTAAAACCCTTTTGCTATCACTGGTGGACTCACCCACCAGCTGCGCCAAAAAGTTGTCATCAACACACTCTACATATTTCCTGGACTGCTTTTCTTCTGCTATATTAAGTTCCCAGCAGATGTCTGGCAATTTGAATTTGCCTACAAGTACAAATGCTGATGAACCTGAAACAATCTCTAGCTGTTTATAGAATAAGTTGTTCACCTCTTCTTCCTGGTTGGGTGGACAATGACTGACTCCCAGTAGAATGTCAGCCTTTTTGGCCTTCCCCTTAATTCTCACCTATAGGCATTCATCTTCATCAGCATTAGTTTCAATACTTATGACATCAAAAGCCTCCCTAATATACAGGGCCACTCCTCCATCTTTTTCCCCTTTCCTGTCTCTTCTGAAGAGCTTGTAGCCATCCAGTGCAGTGCTCCAGCTCTGTGAGTCATCCCACCACGTTTCTGTGAGGACGCCTACATCATAGCTTTGCTGTTGCACCATGGCTTCCGGCTCTTCTTGTTTGTTACCCATGCTGTGTGCATTAGTATACATGCACCTCAGCTGGGCTACTGATTTCACCCCTACCTCAGGCTTACCACTCTTGGGCCTGCTTCCAGACAGACCAGCTGCATCCCCTTCCCCCTTCAAACCTAGTTTAAAGCCCTCTCAATGAGTTCTGCCAGTTCATGAGCTAAAATCCTTCATGGCCTTAACAAAGAGATAGAGCCCATCTGGTTCCAGCAGGCCAGGTGCAGTAAAAATTGCCCCATGATCAAAGAATCCAAAACACTGCTGATGACACCAACCCTTGAGCCACATGTTGATAATTTGAGCTCTTCTATTCCTTTTACTGTTTTTCTCAGCCACCAAAGGGACTGAGGAAAAGACTACCTGTGTCCTGCCCTATCAACCACTTGACCCAGTGCCCTAAAGTCCCCTTTAATTGCCCTGACATTCCTCTTTTCAATCTCATCACTGCCAGCCTGGAGTATCAGCAATGGGTAATAATCAGAGGGCTGTATCAGCCCAGGGAGTGTCTCAGTAATATCCCATACCTGAGCCCCAGGGAGGCAGCAGACCTCCCTGTGGAATGGGTCCAGTCGACATATGGGGCCCTCTGTTCCCCTCAGAAGGAAGTCACCCACCACTATTAGCTTTCTTTTCTTTTTAATGTCAGAGGTGGTGATCCATCTGAGAGATTAATCATAACTGGGAGGCTCATGGGGCAGATCATTTTCTTCTACAACATCTGGCTGGCTCTCTAGATCCAGGGGTTCATACCTATTGTGAAGTGGCACCTGGCTTGGAGATGGGGGTAAGGAGGAATTTTTATTATTACCTCCCCAATCAGGGACCCATTTCCACTCCCTTTCATCCACCAGGTGTCCTCCTATTGCCTGACAGTGGGAGACATGGGAGTCCTCTGACTCCTGGTGGGCCTCCCTCAAGGATGGAAGGGCAGAACTCCACCAATCTATTTCCCTTTCCTCTTTTTCCGTAAGACGAAAGTTTTCACCTTCAAGACAATTTTTAATTACTTCCAAAATCCCAGGGCAATTCAATTTTCCAATATGGGCGTGCTATGTGATGAGAGCAATCTACTTGTTCCATGTGGCATTGGTAGCATGGTGGGTAAAGGGAACCTTTGCTTTGAACATCCACCCCATCACTGGTAGTCTGGGCGCCAGGAGGAGTTGTGCTTCTGTGCCTATCACCTCTGAGGCAGCTTGAACTCCTTCATAGGCTGCTAAAATTTCCTTCTCTGCTGGAGTGCAGTTGGTTTCAGACCCTCTGTAGCTTCGACTTCAAAATCCCAGTGGTCAGCCTCGAGTCTCACCAGGCACCTTCTGCCAAAGGCTCCAGGACAAACCATGGCTCCCAGCTGCAAAGTAGAGCACATTCTTCACATCTGGTCCTGTCCTGACTGGACCAAGGGCTACTGCATGAGAGATATACTGCTCAGTCTGGGCAAAGGCTTGTTGCTGTTCAGGGCCTCACTGGAAAGCGTTCTTCTTGAGGGTAACGAGGTAAAGAAGGCTCACAATCTGACTGTACTCAGGAATATGCATTCTCCAAAAGCCTATGGTGCTTAGGAAAGCTTGTGTTTCCTTCCTGTTGGTCTGTGGAGACATTGCTGTGATCTTGTTGATGACATTGATGGGAATCTGACGCCATTCATCTTGTCTCTTTACTCCCAGGAACTGGATCTCTCAAGCAGGTCCCTTAACTTTGCTCTTCTTGATGGTGAAGCTGGCTTTCAGGAGAATGTGAATTATTTTCTCTCCTTTCTCAAACACTTCCGCAGCTGTGTTTCCCCACACAATGATGTCATCGATGTACTGCAGATGTTCTGGAACCTCACCTTTTTCCAGTGCAGTCTGAATCAGTCCATGGCAGATGATAGGACTGTGCTTCCACCCCTGGGGCAATTGGTTCCATGTTGCGTTGCGGTCCCCTTTCACCGCGACACCCCGAGCGCGGGCATGCTGGGCAGCGGGGGAAGAGAAAGGGCGGCCGGTCCCCCGGTAAATGCTCTACAGTCTCAGTTATCGGCGCGGGGACAGATGGAGGCGGCACGGGACTTGGGGTGAACAGGTTCGGTTTATTTCGCGTGCCCCAAGACACCTTGGGGGGGGCGAGCAGATGTTTTATAGGAACAGCAACCAATAGGGGAATAACAGGGGAGGAGTTTGGGGTAGGACTAAAGGGGGCAGGGAAAGAATCAGGGGGAGGGGAGATTCACATCTTGGAGAGAAGGGGGTTAGGAGTGAGATGGGGGGGGGTTGTGTACAGACACTGAAAGAATAAAGAACACACTCCCGCACCTCCCTCTTTTTCTTTTTACAAAAGAAAGGAGAATTCTGACATTTAAACAAATTAATACTGCATATAAACAATATAAACTTCATATGTAAAATACAACAAAACCATATAGTAACATTACAAATTGTTAAACAGAAATAAGTTGAAAAACATCAGAAAAGTACAAATTAATTACAATTACAATAAAACAAATTAATATACAAAGCGTATAAAATTGACATAAACAAATTCTGAATTCGGGGTAAAACATTCAGCAGGATTCACAGCTTGATCTGATTCGAAACTTGGGCTGTCGTGGCGCTGGAGATGTATAGCAGAGTTGAAGCAGCGAGCGGCGACATGGCTTGTCTGATTTTATTCTTTATTTCCGGAGTGGGCATAATACCGAAGGTATAAACTAAAAAGGATGATCTTTCTTTCTATAAAATATAACTCAACAAGTAGATTATTAAATAAAAGGGAACATTGGGTAGGGTGCATTAAGGAATGGGATAGGGGAATCAGACAATCACTTGATTAGTGACTGTCATGATTGATAAGGGAAATCGGTAAGGGGTGGACCAGGGTGCTGCTATCTCAGGGGGAAGACAAAATGGCGGGTTTCCGGTCCGGGGTTTCCGCCCCACCCTCCCTCAGAGGAGACCCCCCCACCCGAGAAGGGGAGTGATCTTCTAAGAAGGGGGGTCCCCTGATGGGAAGTCCTCGACAGCGATCCGTCCCACCAGAGGAAGGGCCAGAAGAAGGATTAGGGAATATCCAACCCCGCCTCCCCCCCACAGGGACTAGCCTCACGGCAATTTTGATTGTCGGGGCCCTTGGGGAGAGGGTGGGGCTGGCGGGAAACCAGGGGTGGAAAAGAAGGATCATGGCGGGAAAACAGGTTCCAAGTGGCGTGGCCTACGCCATCTTGTAAGGGGGTGCCGGGTGCACTGCCCCTCCCCCGAGGCGGCATGGCCAACACCATCCTCAAGGGAAGGCAGCAGTGCCTGGCAGGGCGCCTGGGGCGGCTTGGCCACAGCCATCCCCAAGGGAAGATAGGGAAAAGTTTAGGAACATCTGAGGGGAAGAGGGTCTGGGGAGCTTCACAGAAGCAAAAGGGGAATTTACAGGAGAGGAGCCCGATGCAGCTGGATGTCGACACAATGCGTGGGTGTACAGGGCTTCTTTTACCAACTCTCCTATGGTTAACATGCCGCCTTTCAAACATTTGTCCCGTTTGTGTCTTTTCTACCCCCTCCGTCCAGCCCAGATTGGGGAGGAAAGGATAGAGAAGACGACTTTTCGAGGGGAAGAAAAAGCAATCAAATATGGGTCCCCGTAAAAGACTAGGTGAGGGGTGCCTGGGACCTCCCCCCCCCAGAAACGAAAAACCCACTCGCCCGCCGGGCACATGCAAGAATACAGTTCCCGTCTGAGCACGAGCGAGGGTTAAAACGCAAAAAGAAAAAACTGGGAAACCCAGCCACCCGGCGGGATGGACCCCACCCCGTTTTAGCCCCCCTTACCCTCTGGGGCCCGGGTGGAGATGGCTTGATTCTTCTCCTCAACTTGGTGGAAAAGTCGCGCCGAACTGGGGACGTTCCTTCTCGGTTTGGCTCTTCCAGAGGCTTAGGTGTTCCCGGGACTTGCAGGCAAGTCCAGCCGATCTCGGCTGCACCCAAAACTTGTCCCTGAAGCTGTGGGCTCGGCCACTATCGGCCTCTGGTAGTCTCGTTCCGGTGCTGTACGAGCCGTTCTCCTGGCTCCCTTGAGCCGCTCCCAAACCACCCTCTTTGTTCTGGGGTAGGTCTAACCCCCCCTTCAAAGCCCCTGCAGCACGTCTGCCCCAGTGCAGGACGTCTGATCTCGGCGGGGGGTAGAGCGCGCGGAGGCGAGAACAAAGGAGGGTCCTGGAGCCGAATTCTTTTCGCTCGGCACTCGGCTCCTCTTAGCGTCCGGCAGAGCTTCTCCAACCGCAGATGTTCCTCTTCCCTCCTTCTTCTTCCGTGGGGCGGGCGCCCCCACGAATTTGCCCGTTTGTTTTACAAGACGAAGGAGGGAACCATCCTCTTGCTACCATTTGTTGCGTTGCGGTCCCCTTTCACCGCGACACCCCGAGCGCGGGCATGCTGGGCGGCGGGGGAAGAGAAAGGGCGGCCGGTCCCCCGGTAAATGCTCTACAGTTCCAGTTATCGGCGCGGGGACAGATGGAGGTGGCACGGGACTTGGGGTGAACAGGTTCGGTTTATTTCGCGTGCCCCAAGACACCTTGGGCGGGGCGAGCAGATGTTTTATAGGAACAGCAACCAATAGGGGAATAACAGGGGAGGAGTTTGGGGTAGGACTAAAGGGGGCAGGGAAAGAAGCAGGGGGAGGGGAGATTCACATCTTGGAGAGAAGGGGGTTAGGAGTGAGATGGGGGGGGGGGTGTGTACAGACACTGAAAGAATAAAGAACACACTCCCGCAGTTCCAGGTGTACTGCACGCCTCTCCAAGTGAAGGCAAACTGAGGCTTGCATTCTGCTGCCAAAGGAATGGAGAAAAATGCATTGGCAATATCAATAGTGGTGTACAACTTCACTGCCTTGGACTCCAGCTCATACTGGACCTCTAACATATTTGTCACAGCAGCACTTCATTCAAGGCGTGATAGCCCACAGTCAATATCCATTCTCCTTCAGATTTGCGCACAGCCCAAATGGGACTGTTGAAGGGTGAGTGGGTTTTGCTGACCATCCCTTGACTTTCCAGCTCATGGATCATCTTATGAATGATAATCACAGCATCCTGAGTTGTTCTGTACTGTCAGCAGTGCACTGTTGAAGTGGTAATTGGTACTCGTTGTTCTTCCCCCTTCAGAAGTCCCACTGCAGATGAGTCCTCTGATAGTCCAGGCAAGGTGTTCAATTGCTTAATGCCCTCTGTCTCCGCAGCCGCTATCCCAAACGCCCACCTGAGTCCCTTTGGGTCTTTGAAATACCCACTTTGGAGGAAGTCTATGCTCAAAATGCATGGGACCTCTGGGCCAGTCACAATAGGGTGTTTTTTCCACTCATTTCCAGTCAGGCTCACCTCTGCTTCCAGCAAAGTCAAATCCTGTGATCTTCCTGTCATGCCAGCAATAGAAACAGATTCTGCCCCCACGTTTCAGTGGGATTAGTGTTATGGAACAGTTTACACTGAGTGTCATCATCAGAACTTACAGGATGGGCAGGGTATCAGAGCCAGCCAGCATGGGTTTAGGAGGGGTAGGTCGTGTCTGACCAACCTGATCTCCTTTTATGACCAAGTGACCCACCTGGTGGATGTAGGAAAGGCTGTGGATATTGTGTACCTGTACTTCAGCAAGGCCTTTGACACTGCCTCCCACAGCATACTCCCGGTAAAGCTGGCAGCCCACTGCCTGGACACGGTCACTCTTTGCTGGGTTAAGAACTGGCTGGATGGCCAGGCCCAGAGAATGGTAGTGAACGGTGCTGTATCCAGCTGGCAGCCAGTCACCAGTGGTGTTCCTTCAGGGATCTGTGCTGGGACCAGTTCTTTTCAATATCTTTATTGATGATATGGATGAGGGTATTGAGTCATTAGTAAATTTGCAGGTGACACTAAGCTGGGAGCACGTGTCGATCTGTTGGAGGGTTGGAGGGCTCTGCAAAGAGACTTGTAACAGTTGAATGGATGAGCAGAGTACAATAGGATGAAGTTTAATAAGTCCAAGTGCCGAGTCCTGCAATTTGGCCACAACAGCCTCCTGCAGTGCCATAGGCTGAGAACAGTGTGGCTGGACAGTGCCCAGGCAGAAAAGGACCTGGGGGTACTGGTTGACAGCCAGCTGAACATGAGCCAGCAGTGTGCCCTGGTGGCCAATAAGGCCATCGACATCCTGGAATAGTGTGGCCAGCAGGACCAGGGAAGTCATTCTTCCCCTATACTGGACACTGGTGAGGCTGCACCTTGAGAACGGTGTCCAATTCTGGTCCCCTCAGTTTAGGAAAGACGTTGAGATGCTTGAATGCATCCAGAGGAGGGCAACGAGGCTGGTGAGGGGCTTGGAACACAAGCTCTATGAGGAGTGACTGAGGGAGCTGGGGCTGTTTAGCCTGGAAAGAAGAAGACTCAGGGGTGACTTTATCGCTCTCTACAACTTCCTGAAATGTGGTTGAAGTCAGGTGGGGGTTGGTCTCTTTTTCCAGGCAGCAACTGACAGAACAAGAGGACACAGTCTTAAGTGGCACCAAGGAAAATATAGGTTGGATATTAGGAAAAAGTTTTTTACATAAAGGGTGATAAAGTACTGGAATGATCTGCCCAGGGAAGTGGTGGAGTTGCCATCCCTGAATGTGGCACTCAGTGCCGTGGTTTGGTAGAGGTGTTAGGGCATGGTTTGGGCTTGATCTTGAAGGTCTCTTCCGACCTAGTGATTCTGTGAAGGAAAGGAAAGGCTGAAAAGCCTCATCCCCTGCTTCTCCTCTAACAAACTGAGTGCAATTACTAATAAACCCCCAAAACATGCTACTGGAACTGGGACACAGGGTAGGATGAAGAAACCATAAACCATACATATCCTAAACATACTCCAATTCATTTTTAAACTCCCTATAAATCATTATTACCATGCCCAGCAAAATAGCTATTCTAATCCGTGCCCCTCTACTATAAAAGCTATATGTTAGGGACAATACTGGAGCTATCTCCAGATAAAAAAATAAGCCTAGGGACCAGAAAGGTATTAAAACCTCAAAAAAGTCTAGGGACCAGAGACACACGAAGGCCTCCACCCACATGGACATTATTAATTGAAGTAATATGGCTACTGACTGCTTTATCCCAATAAAGAGTAAGTACAATCAAAATGCAATCAGTACAGGTTTTTTTCCATTTTCTTGAGCCATGCGTTGGGCACCAAAAAATGTATTTGTCCTGGTTTAGGGCAAATTTGAGAGGAAACTTCCAAAGGGGTCCCTCTGGAAAGCAGATTCAAGCATTGACTCCCCCAACTGGTTTGGAAAAAGATTTCCTTGGAGAAAAGTGAAAAAAAAAAAAAACAAACCTGTTTATTTAACAAGCAAATTATTCACAAGCATAAAAAAATTAATATTAAACAATAAAACCTCTCACTTTTCTGAAGAGATGGCAAATTCAGAAGGTCCTTGCCATGGGGTGTAGCTTGGCTTGCTCAGTCTGTTATCAGTCCCTCCTGCTCTGGAAAATGCTGCATCTCGGGCCCTGGTGGGCCACAGGTGTGAGCTCCCCGTGTTTTTCTGGGTTTTCAGTCCAGAGCAGGTTTGATCAATTCCAAGAAAAAGAAAAGTCACCATCCAGGGAACTTCTCTGCCTCAGCTAGCTAAAAAATGACCTAAAAGCAAAGGAGAGCTCTCTCCCACTGTCTGGGCTGCAGAAAAAAACAGTCTATGAGAAAGAATGCTGAAGCTCTTATCTCTATGTTTTTTAATATAGCCGCCTCAGACATTCCACCACTTCTTCTTCTCCCCACCTTCACTCTCAGATCTAGCTTTAAAGGTGAAAAACTTATTTCTGGGCTAAACTGACAAATGGGGATACAATTCAGCATCATAAAGTCACCCCAGAACACCCATAATGACCCTTTTGCTCTTACAGCTACAGAATGTAACTTTAAAAGCCCCAAAGATTGACTGCAACATCCTAAGGTAGTATATAAACAGCTTCCTGATACAACCATCTGGCATGGATCTGCTAATTTATTAACATGGGGTCAAGGATATGCTTGTGGTCTATCCCCTACAAGTGCGTTGTGGATGCCAACTAAAGCTGTCAAACAGTACTGTGATCTGGAAGGATGCCCAACAGAATCCTGCTCAGGAGGTGATCAAGTTGAAGCTGACCAACCCCTCAAAAGGGAAGAAGTGAAAACATAACAGGGTGATCTCAAGGCTCTGGATGCTGAGACATCTAGAATGACGCAGTGTGTGGGGGCAGAACCTGATTAGTGGAAAAAACTCCACAACTCGTAAAAGTTGTAAAGTAGATATGTATTTAATTCAGTGCCGGATGCATGCAGGATAGCTCCACAAAGGCATGCACACCCCACCGAGAATTCAGACTGTCTTTTGTGCATTAACTTGTTGCATATGCATCAAGTTTCAGAATAGGTCCATCCATATTCATTTCCTAACCCTGTTTCGCATTAAAATTAGCTTATCACTCCTTCTGAGCCTGCACAGAGCTCTCTGGCAGTCCTTCCATATGTCTTCCCCAGTGCCGGCAAGTCCAGCCTTCGGTTGTGGTATTTGCCAACAGTGGAAGTGGTGCTGATTCTGCAGTCTGTCCTTCTTGCACCTGCATTGGGAAGGCAGGAGACAAGACCACTGGCTGCGCTGGGGATGATAGCGCTGGTATTGCTGAGACAGAAGGCACAGCTTCCAGACCTCTGGTCGTGGCAGGGGGAGGCAGTTGCACCACTTCCACAGATGGAGGCGCGGGGGGGCAAAAAGGAGCACAGCTCCTGTTGCATCATTTACCAATAGAAAAAACGCTGCTGGGGCCACTGCTGGTGCCATGGTCATCGGTGCCACAGAAGAGGGGGAGAGAACTGGAGGGGAATACATTAGCTGGAGCAGAGGTGCACTGGCAGATGATGGCGATACAGGGGGGTGTGGCAGGTACACTTGCACAGGCTCTATTGCTGGTGCTGAATGAGCTGTCAGTCCAACTGCATCACTCGTTGTCGACGGGGGCGATGCCACCCCCACCTGCAGTGCAGGGGGAGAATGAACCAGCAGCACCAGTAATGGAGCCGGCTGGTTGTAAAAGGATCATTCCCTGGCTGGCTGTGGTGGAGAGAAGAATGAGGTTGGGATGCAGGGCTAAGTGGCTTGTGAAACAGGGAAAGCCGGCGCTGGCGATTGGGGCGAGGCTGGCTGAGACAAAAACATGCCTGCTGCTGCTTGCGGAGCTGAGATGGGTATCGCTGGTAGCTGGAGCAGTGTCGACAGTGGTAGAGACACCCCTGCTGCTGGCCTGCGGGGCTGGGGAGGCTGAAGGCGATGGTGCAAATGGGTGAAGGTTCTTTTACAAGTTTGGTCAGGACGTGGTTGTTAAAATTGATTCACTTTCCCTTGGGGGCCAGTCTTGTATTGTTCTGGAAAGGGCTCCCCAAGTTGGTAATAAAAGGGGTGCGGTCTTATCTCCCTTGATGACCCCATACCACAGGTAATTGCCAAGTATATTCCAAATCTGTGGATTAAATGCAGTTTTCACATCTTCTGGGAAGCCATGAGACTTGGCCCAGGCTAAAAGGGTGTGAAG